TAAAATATTTGCTGTCTCACTCTGGTTTTTATACATTTATACCTATATATATATATATATATATATTATAACCCTATAATCATTTCATAAAATCCTTAAAAAAAAACATTCGAAGATTGCTTGCAAAGATAAGAAAACAAAGACTTGTAATTGATGGAAGCTGCATCAATTGTAAGGACTTTTTTTTTATTTAAAAGCAACAGTTAATAAAATAAAAGTACTGGTGTTTCTTTTTTTTGAATAAGGAATAAAAATTTATTTATTTAAATCAATAAAACAGTAGTTCAAATAAATTTTTTTTTGTGTGCTTTACATTCTTTTGGTAAACGCATCATGTCCATCTTAAACAATAAAGGTAAGAATATATTTGTATATTATTTTCATAATAGGATAAAAGTTTATGTTACAGTGTGTTTTGTTTTAGAATAAAATAATTATTATGTTTGTCATGATTTTTGTGAGTCTTAATTACCGTAGATTCAAGAATTTGAAAATTCGAAAAAAAAGTAATTTATTCTGAAACTTGATCTTCAGAATTTTAGAAAATGAGAGCTAGCTGATATGATATGTGCATTGATTGAACTATAACATATAATATTGGAGTTGAATGTGTTGGTTGAGAAGAAATTTTAAAAGAAAACAAATTTAAAATCGAATGAAAATTTGGTTATTTTAAATATTTCAAGAAATTACGGTTTTTTATCTTTAACAAAAATTGTTTTTCTTACACAAGTATAAAAAATATTATTCTTATATTATAGCTTTTAATGAAAAATAAGTCTTGTTATTGTACACTTAGAATCATTATTGTCTCGTTAATTTGTTTCATATCTTTTGGCTTTATTTTGTTCCATGCAAATGTTATGTTCTCTCTAATATGATGCTGATAAAGATCAGCATTTAATACTTTTATAAATAGATTTGTTATAAAATAGTTTGTATTGGTTTTATTTTATCAAAATGTAAGAATATGATATCGGACACAATTTTCTTTCAACGCTTACGTTAAGCATTATCTTAAGTTATTGAGCATTTATATTATTGGCATTGTGTTCATTACTTTAATGTGAAATTATTTGGTTGAAATTTGAGAAAGGAAGTATATATATATATATGAATATATTTTTATTTTCATCATGTTTAAAATAATATAAAAGTAAAATAATGATAATGGTAAAAAATTTATTTGATTAACTTAATGTTTAAAAATTTAGTTGAAACACATATATCTTACGATAAAACAAAATTCAAATGGAGAAAAGAATCTTGTTTAAATTTTCATCTACAAGGTCTTAATATTCTTTGCAAAAACATGTTTCACAAATGCATGTAGTTTTTTTTTTACGGCTAATTCATCAATATCAGAAACTTCATCACAACCTTTTCTAAATTTTTTGTATTTTCATTTTTTAAACAGCTCTGTTTAAAATGCTTACACATAACACCTAGTTTTATTTTTTTCGCTTTTAAGAAAAATGTCTATAATTACTATCAAAATGTTAGGGAAATAAATAAAAAAAAACCGAAATTCTCGCATTTAAGCATTTTTTGAGTGACATTTCAAAAACTTTATAAATTTTAAAGAAAAAAAAACAGGTAATAATTTTAAAAAATTATCACGCCTCGCTAGCTTGTAACTCCAGATATTAATGAGGGAATCAAATTATCATTTTTAAAAAGTAAAATTATGTACTTCTGAGTACAGTAAAAGTTGCATCTCTGAAATGAAGAAAAAGACGTATTTTTCGAAGATTAACATGTAGGCTTATTGATTCGAAGTGTTAGTATTTAATTTGCTAATTAATTTTATGCAGTCTAATGTTTTAAGCTACAAAATCAGAAGAGAAAAAAACGTAATTTCTCTGATTTCTTTCTTTCTTTTCTCTTGATTCGGGATATTAGACCATTAAAATATGAGAGAAAAAGCAATCTGAATTCTGAATATGAGCTAAATTTCAGGAGAGTGCTTGAATTTTAATTTTTTGGTTGTCTTGATGTAATTTCGAAACTATTTATGCAAATTAAAAATTTGCCTACTATTGCAAAACTCGCTTGTCCAAATTAAAATATATAATTGGAATTGCTAAATATTTAATTTGGAATTCGCTAAAGAGAATTCCAAATTAAAATATATTGCTTAGACTATTTACTAATTATTTTTAAAATAAATAAATAGTCCAAAAAAATTTTCAATGGTAAAATTTACAAGTTTTGACAAAACTTCATCAAATGAAGTTTTCAGCGATGTTTAATACATAAACTATACGTTATTTTCTAGTTTTGCTTGTATAAAACGCGCTTTTTCACTATTCTCTATTTTTTGCGTCGATTCGCTAAACATTTTGTTTTGCCCCAATGAGGTATAATTTTAACTTGTATTATGCACGCTTTTAAAATGTGAGCATTCTAGCTAGTCAGAAAATTGTCAGCGATTCGATACATTTTCATTAGCTATTGCTTCTACTTCTGGCTGTCAGAATTGATTGTAACTTGCATAGCTCTTCAAAACGGTGCTCCAGTTAACCTACATATATATATACAGTAAAACCTGTTTTTGTGCGGTCCTTTTTTATGCGATTTGGTTTTGTGCGATTTTATTTTTGTGCGATTTTTTTTGTGCGATTTATTTTCATGCGGTATATGAATCTTAGCGGCGTTAGCACCAGTTTAATGTTTTCTATCAATGTACATACAAATGTTGTGGACGAACTCTGATTACGTGGTCTCCTTGACCAGTCGACCGTCGTCACAAAAACTGATCACTGACTTATGACACTGAAATCCTGTCTTCAAGCGACGAAAGCGATTTTCAACCAATTCATAACAAGAAGATGCGCGCTTTGGATTACGACGAGTAGCAGCAAACTATTTAATGTATAATTTGAAAACTTCTCCATGTATACGTACAATGAAGAATTAAATATTTTTACAATTTCTTTAGGTCTAATTTAATTATTTAATTTAATTGAAAGCATTCTCTCATCTATTTCATAAATCATTGATGTATCTTCTAAGTCCGACTTTTTTTATGCGGTCCCTGTC